ATCTATAACAAATAACATATATATGTATATATATATATATATATATATATATATATATATATATATATATATATATATACATGTCTTTAATCGTAAAAAGAGATTTGTAAGTGAATTTTCATTTAATCTACAGAGATCTGGAAATTTAATATCGAATGAAATTAATTTTTACTTTATTATTAATTATTCTTTAAGGTAATGAATTGATATAAACGTTTTATTCACCATTAAATTATCCTATAAAATCTTATCCTTATAACCATTAATAAGTAGTACAATTTAATTAAAATTTATATTCTCGTGGTAATTGTAATAATGTCAAAAAGCTATTTAGAATAAAAAAAAAAATTTTTCACTTTAGTTTTAAATTTTCGAATAATTCACCTGAAATTCTTAATTTAATATGGCTAGAATTAATGTTTTCATTTGTTCAATTTTATATTTGATGAAAGTTGTTCCTCCTTGAGCTAGTAATGGTTATAAAAGTTTTTGAGTTAAGAGAAGGTCCGCGTCAGAAACTTGTATCCTTTCATAGACAGTACACGCGTGCATCGAGTTCGGCCCGTCTCCGCGCCAATTGGAATTCCTGCGACGCATTGCATTTTTTCTTTAAATTTGCCGGGCATGACAGCCCTTTGCGCCAGCTCTCGATTAAAAAAAAATCCCAATGTTGGCTGGAAAGTGTCGAGCGCCCGTAAATAGCACTGTACTCGTGTGTCATGGCACGGCGAGGGGCGAAGAGGGGCGTCTAGAACGGAGAAGGGTGAATGCCCGCGCGTGTGCGTGCGTATGTGCGAGAGAGAGCGAGAGAGAGAGAGAGAGAGAGTGATATTCGTGTAGAAATGGCTCTTAATTACACCGATCCCATTGAATTCTATTGGGGCACCCTTCGGGTTAGTCAACGAGAAATAGAGGGCCACGTGCGCCTACGCCGCAGAAGTGTTTTTCGAGACCCTTGCCGATCCCCGCCTCCCTACGATACAGCATCTGAACAAGTATCCACTTTGAGATTTTCCCGCAAATTCCTACGTGTTCTGTGAATAATTGGCTCTGAGTGGGGAAAGCGGGAAGGGCCTTCCTGCAGTGCTGCATCCCCCGTACGTATGATTGTGGGCTTTCGCGATTTTTCGTCTCATTGGGCAAGTCATCTTTTCATTCTTTTCGAGCTTTTTGTGCACCGATGCAAAAACTCGATCTCGCTCGGTTTTCCATTGAGACTTGCGTCAACGTTGTCAAATTTCGAGTTTCCACGAAATAGTTTTATTACGCGCTGTAATTGATGGTGGCGGGACCTTATTCCCATCTCTTTGTGATTTTTTATTCGTATTTTCACGATCGTTTGCGTTGTTCGTTCATTTCAATGAAAATATGTCCCGAAATTGCCGTTTACTTTTCATAATAGTTTCAACAATTAGATAATTTTTCATTCGCAACAAATTATGTCTATAATGGTCAATGATGAAATTAACATATGTCTGCATCGACTTTGAGTATGGGAAATTTGCATCGAAATGACAATCCATATCGAGTCTTATAGTAAAATCTAAGCAAGAGATAAAGATAACAAAAGAAAAATGATTCAATCAATAGCTACATAAAGCACACGTGTAAGTTAGTAATTTTGTTGATTTGTGAAATAATATTTACAGTTGTACTATTAAAAATAAAAGAAAGGACAATATTTATACCATATATACACATATATACATATATATAAAGTGATAATGTAGTTTTGCGATGCTTATTCTCTATGAATGATCATTTCTCACAAAATAATTATATTTATCAACACAAAAGACATTAATTGCGCGCGTAGCTTGGTTCTATTATTATTATTATTATTATTATTATTCAAGAATAAAAATAAAAGATACTCAAACGCTAATGTATGAATGAATAATAATTATTTTTTATTCTTTTTATAAAACGTTCTCTCTCTCTCTCTCTCTCTCTCTCTCTCTCTCTCTCTCTCTCTATCTCTCTCTCTCTATGATATTTATGACTTTTGTGGTATATGTTTTTCGCAACTATAGTACCCTATTGTGTGTGAATTATCAGTGTAAGTGAGTTTATCCTTCCACGTATATTCAAGCATATCTGGCGATGTATTAAAATGGCCTTACACTTTATCGTTATTTAATCTACAATGTTGAACGATGACAAAATCCGTTATTTGACTTGTAAAAAATCCTTTTCAAATCATTCATTTTTTGAAAAAAAAAAAAACCAGACCATTTGACTATTTAAAATAACTATAATAACATGTAGTAGCATAAAATTGTGACTTGAGTAGTTGTGAATATCATTATAAGAATAACGAGAATATCTTTCATTTTTTTACGTTGAACGGACCATGTAACCATAAATCATATAAGAAAATTGAATAAGAAAACAAATTATTGTAATCAAGCAGCCGATGACGCATCTATAATACCAACTTTGGTTTAAAATGATCTTGTTACATCCACGTAAACCTAATCTATGTAGCTCACTACTATAGATACATATATATATATATATATATATATATATATATTCTTTTAAATCTTTGTTCGCTTTAATGGGAACTGTATACTATCCCCTCGAGATCGCAATATGTGTTTTGAAATATCTCATGTAACAGAGACTACGACTCTGTACCTATCGCCAACAGGATGAGATAGAATGAAACATTGCGATAGCAAAAGTGAAAAAAAAGCTTGAAAATTAGCTCTGAGAATCGCGATGGAAAAGAATAAAAATGGAAAAAGAGTGGATGGTTATGGTTTCTAAGATTTACTCGTTCTTCGTTAATTCTAAACACCGTATCTTATACAGGAATATTTTCATTTAAATGGAGTAATAAAGTAGATAACTAATTTATTGAATACAATGAGAATTTTGTTTTTGATTTAGTACAATAATAGCGCGTACGTAATATTTTTGTATGCGTATAAAGAACTAGACTAGTCTGCAATGAAAAGAAGTGGGAAGAAAAACACGAGTTTAACTGAAGCAAAATATGTCGGTTAGTCGACGTTAACTTTTAGTAAAAACGTAAACTAAACGAATGCAATTAACTTTTCTAGAACTTTTTTCTTTTTCCTATTTTATGTTTATTTTCATTATTATAATTCGGAATTTAAATTGTAAATTATGATAATTCAACTCCGTCACGTAGGCTTGCGAATAATTTGAGGCGCTTTGATAATGCAACGAGCAACTTTCTCCCTCCACAACTTGGAACAAGCTATCCTCTATTATTCCGGCATCGCATTTTTCGTTATTTCTTCTCGAAGAAATCGGCGCCCCGAGTCCCTCGCGCAACAAAGTCCGCGGCGTGAAAAACCATGGGGACGCGTCGCATTTACGGAGCAGCAGCGCCAAAGAGAGAGAGAGAGAGAGAGAGAGAGAGAGAGAGAGTCAGAGAGAGAGAGAGAGAGAGCACGAAGGCCGAGGGGTGCGCGTAATCTAATAACGAGTTTTTGTTGGCCGACACCACACGCGTATCACCGCGGCACGCGCTCGCCTCGACCTCAATAGCCCCGGGAGGGTGTTGTCACCCACCCTCGGGCTCCCGGTATCTAGCTATGCATCCGAGGAGGCGAGTTGACGTCGTCGTCGACTTGCCGGCCATTGTGCATTAGCATCCATTCAAGCCGGTAATCGAATCCCGCGAGAGATAGTCGAGTTCCGCAGCGGGGGATTTGCGGTAAACTTCCGGCGTTGTCGCTTACTGCCGACCCCAACTCTATCTGTACTTTCAAGCTTCCCGCAAGTATTTCCATTTCCGATGTAGCGCCGAAAGCCGATGATGGCACAACGGAGACTCGCTGAAACAGGCGACGAAGCCTATCATCAGCTAATTATATGGCTTTTTCTTATCTTCCGTTCATTCGTTCGTTCGTTTTTTTTTTTTTTTTTTTTAAAGCTCCCGGTATTCGTGGTTCGATGCTTTTTCTATGATTTTGCGCGGATGAATGTTTACCTTGGTATTTTGGTATTTTAAATTGATCTAGGACAGTGATGGGATCTTGCTGGAGGTTCGTGCTGTCCCCGACGATGCCTATCGCAACACTTGCAATATGGTCGTATAAGAAGATGAGATAATCGCAATACGAGCATCCTCGTTTCGGGGTATGAATTTTTATGCGCGATGAAATGCCAAAAGATTCATGTCCAAAATATTGCCCTTTCGAATAATTCCGCCGTATGTGATTCCCATTTATTACACTAAGCTCACAATTTTCGCATAAGAATATGAATAAGAATAATGGCGGATGAATCCTAGGAGGTTTTTGTCGATGATGATATCACGCTTAACGTCATCGCACGAAAATCATATCTCACTATTAAAGTGCGAGATAATGAAAATTAATCTTTCTCTCGTTTTTTCTTTCTTTGAATAAAAATCCACGTACGACTTTATGGACGATCAATATTCGATAATACAGCAAGATATATTTGGCCTCTTTACGTTGCTTTCGCCCCAAGCTATTTATCACGATCTCTGTATATCTTTGGGGCTGGTCCGATGGGTATAGAGAACGGGAATGAAAGTATCTTTAACCGCCTTATCTCTTCCCTATTGCTCCTGCCGTATGCTAAATTGAATATGAAATTATGCAGCTTATCGTTCTGCCATACGGATGACTGACTAGATAATTTACTACTTTAAAGTTTTATTAAAACAAAAATTAATAATAATAATAATAAGAAGTAGAAGTAGAAGTAGAAGTAGAAGTAGAAGTAAAAGTAGAAGTAGAAGTAGAAGTAAAAGTAGATGAAGAAGAAGAAGAAGAAGAAGAAGAGGAAGAAGAGGAAGAATAAATATGGCTACAGTCATTATATTTTTATGATTTATTTGACTCTAATGATTATTTCGAAAGAAAATATTTAACTTCTCGATTGAAATATCCACGGCTGCTTTTATTCCAATTGCTCCTGTGTAAATTCCGTGGGAATCGCATAATTTTCATTTTAACGTTAAAATTCGTTTGTTTGCGATCGTCACGATACGCTCTCAACAATTAACTGTAATATACAAATTTTACAAATTATTATCTGATTGATTGTCTGTTCTTGATAATTGAAACTATCGATTAATAAATTAATCTGCGAAGCCATTAATCGCTGATCGCCAAAGACAAATAATTAAACATCGACTATTTTGTTCCGTTAGCTGAAATTATATTGGATTTCTGCTGATTGTTCGCGAGATGCATTATAAAATATCACTTTTACATAACATTTTACAGTCATCGGTCATTGTTATATATTATTGTAAGCTTAATAAGGATGTATATCGAGATGAGAAGAGATGTTGTCGATCGTACAAACATCAACGCAATATTGACAAACGATATCGACACTTTTATATTACAAATTTCAAGCTTACGTAATTAGCAAATTATAAGTGAATAAACGGAACTGATAAAGTAATATATCTTGCCCGAGATATAATGAATGCCATCGGAGGTAATTAATTTTCTATTTATGAGCCACGACCGTCTATATTTATTTAGACGAGGCAATAAAGTTAAGCCATTATGCGATAAAAAAAAAATTGTTATACTTACCAGTTTTTACTTGATATTTCAACGTTGTCGAGCAATCGATCAATAACTGCTGGAGCGTTACGCCAGTGTCAGGAATTTCGAGATCCAGTAAACGCATCATTTCGCTAGGATGATGAAACTCGAGTACCTTCGAATTTCGATCACTCTGCGTTTTAATATAATCGAGTAGTATGTCGACGACTTTCATGAGGAACTCCTTAGTGGCTGGATATCCCTCGACATTTTGTGGCAATATATCTACATGTATAAACAATGGAAATAACGAGTGAATTATTTAATTGTCCGAGAGAATGCCCATCTACACGCCGTTAACAATATTTGCCTTCGACTTGTCATTTTGCCATTCGCACATTTTCTATAACTGTGTCGCACTCGACAAGTCCCGGAAATTTTTAGAAATTTTTCCGAACCGCTGGTCGAGCGTTTTGAACTTGGCATTGGCCACTTAAAGCATCATTAATTGAAAGGAAACTAATAGACAAACAATGAGAAGTATTTCAAACTTTCGTGCACAATGGCAATGTGATATCTATGCACATCTATTGGTTCTCACCGTTGTTATGTTGTTATGTTATCGTAGATTTTCAGAATGGCTTCAACTCATCAAACAATTGAAAGTATAGACCTAAATTGACACACTCTCAGTTGTTTGGTGGTATGACACCATCGTACTTGCGTAATTTCATAATAGATTATCTTCATCCAAATTATTTATAGACATATCATACCTTATAGAAGCAATTAATTAATCAAGGACAATTAAATAGATGACGTTGATACATGCAACAAAGTCGATGGCTATTAGTCGCCAATATGGTGATTATTTTATTTATAATATTGAAAGAAATAGATTACAAATACAATGGCAATTGTAGAAATTGACAGTAAATTGCTTAGTCATGATTAAGAGTGTGATTTGATCGATTATATTTTCCAAGTTTTTCATTCATATAATTTTAACAAAGTATGAAATAAATTCAGACGCATAATGTAAGGAAATCAGGCGCTTATACTGCTTGATAATGAGATTTTAAGACAATTAGAGTACAAACAGACGAGGACTGCCAGTAGTCCAAACTATACACGATACATTTTTTTTTGTTGCAATTCCAATGTTATTTAGATTAATAATATTTGACCGCGTTCGCGCACCATATCGTCATATTTAGGATGACTAGTGGTTTAATAAAATGGCGAAAAGATACTAGCTAGCAGTTAAATAAGAAAAAAGACGGGGATCTGTGTTACGTAGAGCTTGATCAGTCAGCCCAACAAGGGAAATCCCTTGGCTTCTTCGGTAAGATCTGGCTAAGCTCATCCCATCAATCTAAGATCCAGCGACATGCGCCTATGTTCCCTAGTGCTTACAGTTTTCACCGAAAAGCAGATAAGGAGCGAACCTTATTCGAGGCTTTCTCTCCCCCTCCCCCTACCCCTCCCCCTCCCCCTCCCCCTCCCTCTCAGGGTGAGCATTGGCAAAACTTTTACTTACTTAATACGTCCGGGGCTTTATTTTATTGTAATTTATAAATTCAAATCCAACGCGAGAGTTCTTATGCGCAAGCTTTATATGTAAAATCAAGCCACTAGAAGACTAATGATACTTTGGCCCTCCTTTATCACCATTCCTTCATTACAAATAATTTTTAATATTTAATTTTCAATCAATCGCAATTACGATTTTTTTCTCTCTCTCTCCAATTATGACTGATTCTTCAAATTAATAATTATGCTGTAATTATGGCTATTTTGTTTTGCCCGTTTTGAAGTTAACCCTCGTGCGAGCTTTAAACGAACGCTTCACCGTGGTATTATTAGCTTAGCCGATTTATAAACGAGATTACACGACTAATTTATTACATTGGAAATTTAATTTCATCGCATACGATGGGCTTTCTAATAATTATAATACTATATACGTTTCAAGGCACTATTTTCGAATTTCACACTTTCATTACACGTACGCGAGAGATCGGCCGACAGTAAAGTATAAGCCAATGCTAAATCACATGACAATTGAAAAATTGATTCTTTAAGAGTAGATTGTACATTAGAATAGAAAATTTGTAAATCGTGAAGATTTTTAAGCGAATCCCTCGATACATTGGCACGCGCGACATTCTTATCGTCACTCGACACATGCCCAAATGTAAATATCCACTCGAGCCAAAGATGAACCCCTTCCTTTTTGCCAACTCCCCTGCGGTGTTGTAATCTGTCGCTTCTGAGCTCTCCAACTCTTCAGACTAATTCTAAATCCTCGATTATTATGCACCCTTCAGTTTTATGCTGTCAAAACTCATGGAATCTGTGTCGACGCGGCCCTGTGTTATTTATTGATTTTAATCGAAAAGCAAATTTACCTTGACATGCTGATCACGTGTCAATCACAGAACTTTAAGGTGTCGTTTATTTAAGGAGAAATCCATCTTTGGCTGTTGGTTTTAGCGTCTATCTATTCGTATTGATATATGCATTTAATATTTTTCAATGAGAACCCCGTCCCATACTACTACTACTACTACTACTACTACTACTACTACTACTACTACTACTACTACTACTACTACTACCACTACCACTACTACTACCACTACTACTACCACTACCACTACCACTACCACTACCACTACCACTACCACCACCACCATCACCACCAACATCACTACCACTACCACCACCACCACCACCACCACCACCACCACCACTTATAATAATAAAATGACATTCTACGTAGATTTGCAATTCTCGTTAGAGATTCTCTTTGGATTTTGAAATAAATTATTATTGTTCATTCGATACTGATTATGTTTTATATATTCGTTATTATTTAAGTATACGTTATATGGCATCGGTATATAAATAAGAGAGCAAATACTTAACATAATTCCACTTGTTCGTACTTGAAATTATTAGCAAATTTATTTTAATAATATGCATTATAAATTGAATTTATGCGAATATTTTAATCGAAAACGACAGCATCGGAAATGTAATTACTATTGCGGTTGATTGTTGCAACCAATTGTTAGAGCAAAAGTAACTAGAAAGCCGCACGCATTCCCACTCAACGAGAAAAATCGCAAGCGGAATGGTAGTGGATGGGTATGCAAGATCAAGTAAAATGGTAACTTACCAGAATATTTGAGGTTACTGTGCTCCTTTGAGAGCGAGTACGTATTTTCGGAACTCATGAGTCTAGTGGGCGAATGTGTCCTGGCAAAGTTCTGAAATACAAATGACAAAAGGCCTTTCGAGTTGAAAATACATTGTGAGTTAATCATTGTAGTTTTAAGTTTATATGTGCACGGAGATTTAAAATTCAACACAGTACAAAAAGCCAAAAGCTCACGGACATAGAGAGAAATTAAAGATACACATAGAATGATAACTATATTTGACTATATACGGCAAAAGTAAGAGATAGGTAGATAAGAGAGAGAGAGAGAGAGAGAGAGAGAGAGATAGAGAGATAGAGAGAGAGAGAGATAGAGATAGAGAGAGAGAGAGAGATAGAGAGCGCATTATAAGCAAACGAATACGATTATGAGAAAAAAAGATGCATATGGCGTGATGGAATGCCTGGTCTTACATATAAATATTCCTTGATCGCTGTGATTTTAGTGCCGATCATTTGTACATTGTCCATGACTCTGCAGTGCCCCTTTTCTGCGATCCCTACAACAGTCAACAATAAACAAATCCGCTAAAGTTCAGCTCGATTGCTTTTCTTTTGGTATTAAGTTTCTTGCCTCGGGCATTTTTAGTTTATAATATTATTGTTTAAACGGACCACCGATGGAGCACGGCAGACTGAGCGACCAAGGAAACGTTTGCTCTTTTTATTTATTTGACTTTTTGTTATAGAGTTCGATAGTGAGTGTCGGTTTCATTAATATTGTGAGAAAATTCGCAACTTATAAATGATGACGAGATTCATCTCCTTTCAATGAACAAAGCAGATCGAAGCTACGCGTGTTCAAGATGTCTCTGATGATTAATTAATAACAAGTGTCTGAATCGTTATCCAATCTAATTAGGATAACATAATTTTATTTACAATTGATATTTCTTCCAATATCAAATAACAAGACTTTCATTGATTTTCTAATTCATTATTGAATGTTAATATTCTATTATAACGATAATGTAATATTTAAATTTTCAAATTATTAAAAAGGTGTTGGAATTATATTTACATACGATTATACTCGAGTTTTAAAAATTGATTAAAACGCGTAGTATATTAACAATTTAGCCACATTTATCAATAACATTTTCCGATATGTTTTTTTCAACATTTATAAATATGAAACAATTTATATAGCCTTTCATAAAAAGTAATATATATATATATATATATATTCAAAATAATATAGCAAGATTAATTAAAACGTGCATTTTAAAATATTGAAGTAAAAGAAGTAGTTGTAGGAGAATTTAGAATTTTACAAAATTATTTGAAGAATTACTTTCGAGTAAAAATTAAGTTATATAAAAAATGTAAGTGCCGATAAAACTATATAAAAATTGTAGTTTTTTTGTTTATGAATTCTTTCAACTTCAACAAAATAACTATGTTAAAAGAAAAAGTATTAGTTCAATAGATAAATTCAATGGATTTAATGTTAATGTAAAGAGATTAGTTATCAGTTTCGTGATATTTATTAATGAAAATAAAATTGAAAATATATATGTAATTTATTGGCAATTGTGAACAAAATTTAAAAATGTATGTATATATATATATATATATATATATGTATATAGTTTTTTCAATTTGAAAATCTACTTTAACAGTAATGATATATATTGTACATTAAAATATGCTAATGAGATGTAAATAATGTACTGAGACTCGTGCTTTCACTGCTTTATCGTTGTGAAATGCAATTGCAACCTAAAAATGCTAATGAAAAAACCGTTCTTCGGAGGATTTGGGAGATTTGTGGTACACCTGGAATTTGATTATGGCTTCTAAAGAGAAATTAATTGTCTATTATGTAGGAATACATTTTAAATCAGTTTTTTTAGAAGGACTATCTGAAACATTCCATTGTTTTTTCGTTTATTTGTTCTTTAAATGTGAATAAATTGCAATTTATTAGTGTAGAATACTCATTTTAACGAATGATATAAAATTTTACAAAAACTGTACAAACACATTTTTATATGAAAATCATATTAAATTCATTTCCGGTGCAAATCAATAATAAGGCCGTTAAACGTTTATGTCATTTTTATTTTATTGCATTATATTTCTATGTTAATTAACTATTAGATATATTATAATCGTTTGCATTTGAAAAATAAAAAAATGCTTATAATACAAAATAATAATGATGTTTATGGCTTCAAAAAAAATAGTATGGGTAGGCTAATGATTTTTTCAATAAGCACTTTTAGCCTTATCTATGTATACATGTCGATTGAAAATGAAGTAACTAGTATCATGAATATATACTTATCGTGTGATTATTCATAATAAATAATTATACGAAATATCTTTAAAGTTACTTCGCTTTATTACATTCCGTTTGGATAGCATTCATTTTTAGATTTTTAGAAATTACCTGAATTTACAAATTCGTGATGAGATTTAGCAAATACGAAAGCACAAAAGATTTTTCGTTACCCCTATTATCGCTGATTTATTAATATCCATACGACTACAGAAACTTAATTACAAATGAAATGAATCGCAGGAATCGTCGAGAAAGGATCTCGACACATCCGTCCGAGATACCGATTCGATTATTCGATCACTCTAATTATCCGATGAAAATTCCTAATTTACCCAAGTCGAGACGATGTTACTATGATGATCTTTGTAAATTCAGGTTTCAGGCTTGTGACACATTGTAATATAATGTATTTACAAATCGTAAGCACTCGCTCGCGCACTCGCTGATGATCGGGAGAGAAAGGGGAATTACAGTCAATGGAGAAGGAAAAAAGTCTCGCTGACCTGTCGTGTCGCTTGGCCTCCGTCCTCCGCAGCAGCTCGCGTCCAACAATCTGATGGAAATCCTCCTCTCCTGGACCGTCTCCTAGCTTTTCGTCCGTACAGCTGTATAATCTAGGACGCGAGTGATTGAGAGAGAGGTAGAGAGGTAGAGTGGCAGAGAGGTAGAGAGGTAGAGAGGTAGAGAGGTAGAGAGGTAGAGAGGTAGAGAGGGAGGGAGGGAGGGAGTGAAAGAGAGGGAGAGAGAGAGAGAGGGAGGGAGAGAGAGAGAGAGAGAGAGAGAGAGAGAGAGAACGAGAATGTGTGTGTTTGGGTGTGCGCGCGCGTGTAGTGAGCGAGCGAGCGAGTTAGTGAGTGAGATGGAGAGAGATAGATAGAGAGAGATAGATAGAGAGAGAGAGAGAGAGAGAGACAGAGAGGTAGAGAGTGAGAGAGCGAGAGCAGGAGGACAGTGGCTGCTGGGCTCGGCGAGAGACAACGAGCGATACGGGCGTTAGGGTGGTTTCGCACGGGACTGCGAGTTCGCCACTGCCCGCGTCCTCACCGATCTTCACCGCTCATTCCTGGGGGCGCTCGCATCTAGCTGACCTAGTTTTGGAGTCTCGCCAGGGGTAGGCGTGGCTCTATTCCTCTCACTCGCTCCCTTGGACTCCCGGCTGTGTGAGTGGGCGTCGGTGTGAGGAGCGGGCGTGACGCTAGCGAGCCAATGGCGTCACTACTCATCCCCTGGGACAGCGGATGACTGCTTCCTCTCCTGGCCCCCCTTCACTCGCTCCATCTTCTTTCACCTCGTTCGCATGCTCGCTCTTTCAGTAACTCTTTCTCGCTCTCTTTCCTTACGGTATCGAAAGCGTCGAGATTTTCCTCCCTGTCTGACACGTTGAAACTTCCCGAATATACACGGTAGCTTGTCGTATTTAATTTGACGGTGTGCGCGCGCATGCGAAAGTTAAATCTGTCTACAGGTACACGGTAACAAATATTCAGCGAGTGCACGGCTTTTGCAAGTATTGGTATGCTGGCAGCGCATTTATAGCACATGGCCAAAATGATGTGGACCGTTAGAAAGAAGCTTATCGTCACTGTAGGCTCTGCGCCTTTCCACTTTTCTCTCTCTCTCTCTCTCTCTCTCTCTCTCTCTCTCTCTCTCTATCTATCTATCTATCTCTCAATTGTCGAGCGGATTATGCTCTTGAACGTATCTATAGGAATGCAAGTGTGATAACTTTTCGAACGCACTGCCGGTGTAATTTGAAAAACCCTGAGCGCATGCGCTTCCATGTGCTTTTGGGTGTACATGACAATCAATTGCAAGTCATTCCAAATCGCTAGTGTTTATCGGAAATTTGCGTGCTAACATTTCCTGACTTTTAATATATGCGACCAATCTATTTTCTATGGATATATATAGTTTCGTATCAGTACACGTACGTCTGTCAATAAATAACCCTGTACAATCTAACCTTATACGTGTAAAAATTATTCTTCTACATTTTCTAAACTAATTGAAAGCATTTTCAAAATTCTATTACAATTTGTATTATATGCTATATTTAGTTTTATGTCACTGTAAATGAGTATCAATTAGTGTAAAAATACAGTCGTTTGCTGAAATATGTACATTATAGGTAAAACGATATATTTAAATCAAAGCCAATTCAATATCTTTATAAAATAAAAAGAACTTAAGACGTAAATGATGTAAAACTAAAGAAATAAAAATTTAGTTATAAAGTAAATAATTTAAAATTCATAAATTATATCATTTATCGTTGCAACGTTCATTAAAATTCTGGCACAGACGAATAAGGTCATTCTATAATATATATATATATATATATATATATTTTTAACAGAGTTTATAGTTTTAACGAGTAATACGAATAATATAAGTTTGAAATTTATGCACTGACGTCATAATCGCATACTCTGTACTATTAGTTACAGTTAAATAATTATTATAAAAACAAATTATTAATAATTGGATAATTTAATGTTCAAATAGCATAATTGATGGATAAATCGCATACTATTTAAGAAAGGAATAAACTCTTTGCGTTATGATTATTATTAGACGACTATAAAATTATAATCAATTTTCAAACTATTTATCGACGAGGAAAACATTCAGGTTTCTATTGCAATGTCTCTAAATAATAAAGTTTAAATAAGAAATTTTTAATCATTATAGGGGAAATAGGGAATTTGAAATTTTAATGTACTCTTGGGTTTGTTCGATAATTTACGTATTTGGTGCAAATACATTTTCAACCAAAGTTCTCATTATTTTGAATTAAATGTCCTAGCTTTATATATATATATATATATAATAAGCTTTATTTATAATAATAAAATGTTATTTTATTTAACCAGTCGTTATCTGTAACTTCATAGACATAATTACAGACGTAATTAATTAAGACATAACAAGATCATTAACTTTTAGTCGATCGGAGCAAGTCGAATGTTTTTCAAAGCATTAATATTACGTATTAAAAGCCAATGGATTAAAAGATTTTATGCCATCTTCGAAATTGTGACTCTTCTCGCCCATTATCCTACATTATTTCACACCAACATGTCGACAATCATTCGAGAGAAAAGGTACGTAAAAACTTTACCCAACAAGAACTCGGAACGTCTTATTGGCCAACGCCGTGAAAGATACGGGAGTCCCTATGTGGGCCAGTGTGATTTAACCGTTGACGTTCTTAGCTCTATATCTATATGCCGAATCGTGGCGAAGAAATGCGGGGCGCGAGTGGTACGAGGCGGGGTGGGGTGGGGCGGGGGCAGAAGGCGAGTTGCAAGAAGCGAAGGTAAGCGCCGCGTCACAGACGTGGAGACGAAAAGAACGGGCACTAGGCAGTTTAGAGTAGTGAGGGGTGGGGGGCCGTCACATTCGCATACGCGAGCTCCTCGAACGTAGCTGGAAACGGAAATTCAATCGCGTCGAGGGTCGTGGGATGTGGTGAGACCGAGAGAGGGAGGCGGGGGAGACAGATTCCAGTTCGCGCGAAGCGCCAAAACGCCTGCGCGCTAAGAGGAAGAGGAGGGACGCAAAATGGACGCCAGCCAATGAGACGGGACGTAGCGCAAGATGGCCACCCGCAAGCCACCCCACGGAGGATTTAATCAATACCAGCACGCGCGTCCTTCGCGAGGGTGAGGGACGAGACCTCGGTAGAGAGGAGAGCAACCTAGCCTCGCTAGGCGTAGCATTTGTACTTTGCACTGTCGCTGCTCCCCCCCCCCCCCCCGGCCC